TTGATGCCCAAAGGGCTGCTATTAGATGAAAGGGGGAGTGCCTAGGGAGGGGGGAAGGGCAAAAATGTTTTTTTGTGATGAAACACGGGCCTTATCTCTAGGCTTTTGAACATAGAATTTCAAGTACTTCTCCCAAAACAAAATATAATGACTGACACTAATAACGGCTTCTACAGGAGGGTGATGTCTTGCATATGTAAAGAGAAAAGTTATAAAACAGGAATTTTTAAAACTCACCTGAAAATCTGCATCATAATTTTGGGATAGAAGAGAAAGAATCACACCCCATGTGTCGGGCCCATGACACACCCCCAAACTGTTTTTTGTTGTTAAGGGCCCGAGAGGTGGTGCAGTATTATCTTGCGCTTGTCCCCACGGGAGCAGTATCACTACAATCCCCCCCCTTCTAAAAATATCAAGACAGAAATTCCCAACTTTTAGGGGGCGACGTACACGCCCCACCTTCGTACCCCTTGAGCCTCTTTCCGGGTTCAATTTTTTCCGGGGGTTTGATAACTGTGGAGCGAATCCTCTTTTTTCCATAGGGGTAGCTCAAGGGGCTTTCCAGGAGAAAAGAAGATTTTTCACATCTATTGGTTCTTGAGATTCCACACTAAGGGGGGATTTCAACGGGGGAAATGTCTTGTAGTATGTAGTTTTCACCTTTTGGTAGTAATGTGGGCAAAATGTGGTTTAGCTCGCAGGAGCTCTCCTTTCACTAAAGGATCCCCCTTTTCATCCTACAGGACTCTTCAGGAGAAGGGTCCAGGTGACATAACCAAGTGGGCAGGGAGGCTCCTAGAGGAACGACGTGAATAGTTGGGGGGTTCTTTTTGAGGAGTTGCATTGTAGCGTGCACAGCAATGACTAAAAGAGTGAAGGCATCAGGTAGGCAGTTTGCCATGTTGAAAGGTAGATTGAACGCTTCAATGTCATTGTAACTGCCTTCCCTATAGTACATGGAACTGCTCCACTTGAACCATTGCCCTTTAGGGGTTAAAACTTGTTGTTCTGCTGCAGGCAATACCTTTGCAGACAAAAACCCCGAAGTTCGTTACTCTGAAAAGAGGAGCCCCCTCTGAAGGATTAAGTGGCATACCAAAAAAAGGGAACAAAGTGAAAGACAATAATAACAGTTGAAGCAGTCATATTTGCACAGGGGTGATATCTCATGGGCGTGAGGAAAATTTAAGGGGTGATACAGGAAAAACTTTTGGGGCAGTTTTATAGGACGAAAAATGTAGGAAATGCTGGTTTATGGGGGTCCTGGAAAAAAAAGTTTCCTGCTGTTTATATGATCCTCACTGTGGATCTTTTGTCGGGGTCTCTGAGGATGGGGCAAAGGTTGGTCTCCTCAGGGGGGATGTCAAGGATGGGGGGGGGTTTGTTTTGCTGCTGGAGTTGTTTGTGATGTGTAAGAGGAATGTAGTGGCAGTTTGGATGGATGTGTAAGGCTAATGGTTTTCACGGAATGTTTGTCATAGTGAGATATAAGGGTAGCTTACTAGGTTATTTTTCTAAACCTGATGGTTATGTTTCACTTGTGTAAGAAATTGTTCCTTGATAGCAAAGGATATCGAGCCCTTAGGATCTCATTTTTAAGTATCAGATATGGCAAGTTGGTTTCAACACAAATTTTCTGAGGTACATGTCCTGTTCTTTTGGGACCTACGGCAAATACAAGGTGGCCCTTAACTTACTACTTGTCCCTTGTATTATGTTTAACCTTTATTTCTGCTGGAGGTTCTATATGGTAATTTTAAGAGTAGTATAGTCTCGGGTCTATACCTATGTTTTTTAAGGGGTTATACCGCAAAAATTCTTGTGGGCAAGAGTTTCGGTTAACATACAGAACGTGGGAGGTTTTAATTTTCTTAGTAGGGTTTGGTTTTAAAAACCCTTTTTATGTGCTTAGTTTTTTTATGTTATAAATGCTTGTTTTGGGTTTATTTATTATAATGTTAATGTACGTTGTTCTGGTTTTCTGTACCGAATTATTGTACTTGATGGTTTAACATATTAATAATATTAAAATACAGTTTCCTCCATGGTTATTTGTGCATGAGGAACATACGTTCCTTCCGAATTCCAATTGTTAGGCTATAATGTTTAACCGTGAGTTTACCTGGATGAGATTCCGGAGGTCAACGCCCCCGCTGCCCGGCCCGTCAGAGACCAGGCCTCCTGGTTGGATCAGAAGCCTGATCAACGCAGGCGTTTGCCTGCTGGCCGCACGAAACCTAACATACGAGCCAACAGGGCTCGGCTGATCCGGACTGACTTAGGTGCTTGTCCAGTGCCAGCTTGAAGACTGCCAGGGGTCTGTTGGTAAACCCCCTTATGTGTGCTGGGAGGCAGTTGAACAGTCTCGGGCCCCTGACACTTATTTGTATGGTCTCTTAACTGCTAGTGACACCCATGCTTTTTCATTGGGGGATGGTGCATCGTCCTGGCCAAGTCTTTTTGCTTTCGTAAAGAGTGATTTTTCGTGTGCAAGTTCGGTACTAGTCCCTCAAGGATTTTCCAGGTGTATAAAATCATGTATCTCTCCCCTCCTGCGTTCCAGGGAATACAGTTTAGGAACCTCAAGCGCTCACCAATCAATTGAGGTGTTTTATCTCCGTTATGCGCGCCATGAAAGTTTCTCTGTTACATTTTCTAGGTCGGCAATATTTCCACCTGCCGTTGGAAAGGTGCTGTTAGTGTGCAAGCAATATTCCAGCCTAAAAGAACAAGTGACCTGAAGAAGTGTCATCATGGGCTTGGCCTCCCCAGTTTTGAAGGTTTTCACATTAATCCATCCTGTGTCATTTTCTTTTTTCTAGGCAGATTGCGATTGATACAATTTATGGTCCTTGAAGGTGATCCTCCGACAAGATCACTCCCAGGTCTTTGACGTTGTGTGTCGCTCTATTTTGTGGCCAGAATTTGTTTTTGTACGCTGATGAAGAATTAATTTCCTCATGTTTAATACCATATCTGAAGTAATTGAAAATTTTCTCATCGTTGGGAACTTCATATTGTTTTCTGCAGCCCACTAAAGATTTGTTGATGTCTGCCTGAGCTTTTTTTTGCAGTGTCCCTCAATGGCAGACACTGTCATGCAGATTCGGGTGTCATCTGCAAAGGAAGACACACGTGGCTGTGGCTGACATCCTTGTCTAAGTCGGATATAAGGAGAGGAACAAGATGGGAGCGAGTACTGTGTCCTTGTGGAACAGAGCTTTTCACCGTAGCCTGCCTCGGACTTTAACTCTGTTGACGACTACTCTCACTGGTGTTCTGTTAGTGAGGAAATTATAGAATCCATCGACGACTTTTTCCTTTAATCCTTTAGCACGCATTTGTGCGCTATTACGCCATGTCACACTTGTCGAAGGCTTTTGCAAAGTCCTGTAATATTTACATCTGCATTCTTTTTGTCCTTCTAGTGCATTTTAGGACCTTGTCGTAGTGGTCCAATAGTTGAGGACTGACAGGAGCGACCTGTTCTAAACCCATGTTGCTGCCCTGGTTTGTGTAACTGATGGGTTTCTAATGGGTGGTGATCTTGCTTCTTAGGACCCTTCCAAAGATTTTTATGATATGGGTTTGTTAGTGGCTATTGGTCTGTAGTTTCTTG